ATCCATGGCATCCTGTGCCTCTCTGCACTGTGCATCTCTGTTTGCCACCATCTCTCTTCCTGCCTTTCTAACTCTTTGGCTCAATGCATTTCTCTGTGTCTGTAGCTGGCCACCATTTTCTCTTTTTCTCAGTCCCTGAAGGATCTCACTTTGTTTCCATTTCCCTCTCCCATCTTCAGCTTCTGTTCCTCTCTTTGTTCCCTCTCTATTATCTTTCATTTTCTCCATCTATTTTTCTCCGTATCCCGTGCCATGCTCATTTTTCTACCTTCCCTCCTTGCTGTAGCATTGTAGCACCGGCGGTCCCTTTGCTCATCTACCATCTGCTGCTCTCCACTGATCTCTTTGCTAAAAACAAGTTTCTTCAGCTAAGGGACAGAAAAATTGCCAAGCTCATTGGAATCTGTGATGGGCGAGGAGACAGAGGCTGATAAATGAAAACTTCAAAGTTTTGAATTAAAAAAAAATATCCCAGCTAGATGTAAAACAAGAAAATGACGTCTAAAAGTCTCCTTTGGCTATTTTTGGCTTTTAGAAATCTATTTCTAGGGAATACAAGTTGCAGAGGGAAGAAGGAAAGTTAAGAGGGCAAGACCTTCAACAGTAAATGGACAGTGCAGAGGGAATAAAAACTTCAGCATTGGAAGTTGCTACACACAAAATACACCACTTCAAATGGCATTTATTGATTTGCACTCCTTTTTCATGCCCTTGTATCTTGTTTTAGGCAGAGGAGAGCCCAGCCAGGCCACATAGCCCCTTCTGCTCTCCCCTCTTCACAACTACAAAGAGGCTTGGAAGAAGCACACAGAGGCAGAGCATCTGATCTCTTTTTGCACATACCAAATGCAAACAGATACTTTCATGGAGCTTGAGCTTCAGTTTGATAGAAGAACACAACGGAATTAAAAAAAGAAATGCACTGAGGAAATTTCTGCACAAGGAGGAGCCCAGTGTTGGAGGCACAAAAAGGAGAGGATGGCACACATCATGGCTGCCACCTCTGCGAGTGCACCCATTTCTGAAATGTCCATAAAGACACGGGGAAGGTCCAAGTCTGTGTTTCTGCATGCACAATGCAATTTGGCAGCATGGGTGAGAGCATAGGCAGGTGTGGACGTCAATGAGGGATAATATGCAGAGGGGCTTCTGTGGGGGCTTCTATGAGGGCACATCCATGGAGAGAAGGATGCTTCTTGCCAGTAGGCTGGCACTGCAGGGCTGGTTTGCTGTTAGGGTTCATGATTTAATTTATGAACCCAGGGGATACGAAATGCGGCTGAGGCAGGCAGGCAGAGGGGACACACAGAAGGCCCCTCACAGCAAAGGAGTTGCCCCAAAAAAGACAACACAGCTGGGGGACAGCCCTTGTGAGCAAGGACGGCTTTGGCAGTGAGGCCAGAATTGTTCCCCTGGGTAGTGCACTTAAGGCAGATTTTTTCTGTTAGTGGGGAACGGAGCAGCTCTCTTGCCACGAGCTGGCAGTCCCGCTCTTCACTTAACAGAATATGTTCTTTGTTGTATGCACCAGAGAGCACTGCCCCAACCTTCTCCCTCCCCGCTTTGATAAACTGCATCACGACAACCATCAGCTCCCTGCCAAAGCTGGCTTCTGCGCTGAAACATTTGTAAATTTGCTCTGTGTATGGAGCTGTGTTTCTGTTCCCCCCGCCTCGCTTTGCCTTGGAGGTTAGAGTTAATATGACTCACCTAATCTGGCTGCCAAGGTGAATTAGTGAAAACATCTCTACAGCTCTGTGCAAGATATCACAACCTGACATTTTTCTAACACACCGTGATATATCTTTTTTCTCTCTCTGATGCGTACTATGACACCTCAATTTTATATAAATGCTCTTTGTTAGGAATGGTTAATGTACTCTAGGGAGACAGGGCTGCAAACAAAGGGGTCCTACTTGCAATGGGATTAACCAAGTTGTTACAGGAAAATGTTGATGCCCAGGGTTGAAACAGATCACTACTGCAGGGACAGGATCAGTGACACCACCACCACTGTTTCAGACAGCCTGTCACAGAAACTTCTCCTGAAGTGGTATGCTCATATCTGCATCCTAAGGCAGAGGAATGAGGAGCTAAATAGGCTTGGTGGTATCTTCAGCTTCCCTTTAACACAGAAGCCTCCCTTTCACACATGCTGGTAGAGCTCTGCTGGGCAAAGCAGCAGCCCCTCATGTGAATCACCTGCTGGGAAGGGCTGAGCAGTGCTGCTGGAAGCCATTCTGCTGGACACGGCACATGGTTTTAAGTGCATGTGTATACATCAGAGAGGAGCTGAAAAATATCTTCACTTAGGAAATTGTGCACTTCTTAGGATACTTTCTGGAGCCCCAGCGATGCAGTGCTCTGATAGACAGACTTAGCAGCACCCCTAATGAGGGTGCCACTCCATTAGAGCTGGTAAGTCACCCTCAACCCTTTTTTCATTACAGTGACAGTCTTGTGACAAGGGCAAATTGCAGGAGAAGCAAGTCCCACTTGGAATGAGCCCTGTATATAAACAAGGCAGAACTGCAGAGCAAATGATTTGCAAAGCAGAGGCAAATTACGTTTTAACCTTTTCCCTGTAAGTCTTTCCTGGATGTCCAATTAACTTTCCAGTCAACTGGCTGACCTACCAACTGGGAGTGCTGCTGTGAGAGGAGTGGAGTGGTGGTTGTCAGCTCGGACTGAGGGTGGCATTTTCAAAGAGCATTATTAGCAGGCAGCAGCGTGTTAGAAGATGATGTGGGAATTAGAGGAGATCCCAGCCTCCCAACCAAAAATGATTCATGCTATGGCAAAAACACACCAGATGTATTGGCTATACAAACAGCACCACAGTGCAGAAATGTTGCAATCCTCTGCCTATGTTCAGCTGCGGTAATGCTTCGTATCTGAAATGCTGTGTACAGTTTAGGGTGTTGTCAGAGAGATCTAAACGGAAAGAGCAGGAATGATCAAGGTCTACAAAACCTCACCTAAAGAAAAAGGCTGAAAGACCTGGCACTATTCAGCCAAAAAAAAAAAAAAAAAAAAAAATCAACCTGTGACAATCAAGGGAAGAACATAAGTGATTTAAAGTTGATAAAAGACTATTGCAGAGAAGGAGGGAATGATTTATTTGTTCTTTTTGTCTATAGTGGCAAAGACAAAAATAATAGCCTTAAATTGCAGCAAGGAAGGCTTGGTCAGGCTGCAGGGAAATGGTTTCAGCAGCGAGGACAGGGAAGCACAGGAACAGCCTGTCTGGAGAGACTGAGGAGATTGTCACTGGAGAGCAGGACATGGCCATCACCAGGAAACAACCCTTATGTCATGCTGAAGTGTGGGAATGGGCTTGATGGGCACTGAAGCTCCTTCCCGTACCAGGACTAGCCTAGCCCTGCTCCTACAGGAGTTAATATTCTCAGACTTATTCATGAGTTACCCCACTGAAAAATGCCTATACAAATCCTTCCCTATCTCTTCCTCCAGGAACTCTGCCCTGGCTATCCATAAGCACCAGTATAAGATTGAAGCAGTGTCTCAGAGCACTGACAGGGCTTTGCCAATGGATTGACTTGTAAAATACATGTTGCCATGCAGAAAGACATGCAGGTTTAGATGCTGTATTATGTAACATGGTTTAGTGGGGAAATATTGGTGATAGGTGGACTGGATGATCTTGGAGGTTTTTTTCAACCTTGGTGATTCCATGATTTTGTCATTGTAAGGCATCTCAGTCTACTGCTAGGGATGAGAAAACCTGCATCAGAGCAGTTGGAAATTTGAGATGTACCAATGAGGTATCTGCTCATCTGTACATCTGGTAGGAATTGGAGGAGAGATCACTGAAAGAAAGGGGAAAGCTTGTCTTTGTATGGGCTTAAAAGATGCACGTGCTACATCTCCATGACAGGGGATGGTTTTCCCTTAGAATGGTTCTGAAAATTGCCTGGAAAAAAGAAAAGGGCAGAAATAATGGTGTAACTGACAGATTCTGAGCAGATTCTGAAGTTGCTCAAATTCCTATCTCTAGTGCAAAAGTCAAATCGCACTGTGTGTGTGGTGCACCCAGCTTGCCCAAGCTTATATACTGCAGCAGCCAGGTGCCTGTGTGGTAGGATTTGTTTCAGGTGGCCGTAGGGGACTTGAGCTCTGAAAAGGGGCTTAAATCAGAGCTGCAGAGCTGAGGAGCAGCCCCGTCCTCTGGGCCTTGGCTGAGCTCCACCAAACTAATGGGAAGTGGGCACAATTTCAGAAGTGCTCAGCACCCTTTGAGCAGAAATTGTCTCCTGGGCAGAGTTTCACTGGAAAATCTGACTGCTCTCCTAGGAGCCTGAAAGGGAGTCGTTGTTGTGTTGATGTTTTCTTTGGGGGGGTAGGAGGGGAAATCTGTCCTGATTCTCGAGTCACAGCTTTCAGAGCTGTCCTAGCAAGGCAGCACAGCTTAAATGTGTCATTTCATGTACTGTAGATGGGGGATTCGTAATGATTATTGGGCTCTGCGGATCAAATGACACTTTATTTCTCAGTTTGGATGTGTTTAACTGTATGTAGCATGGTCTGATCGATGGCTCTTCAGGGTGGCAGCTGCGCTGAGAGGCAAAAAGACATTTTTCCCAGTTTGGCAGTGATGAAAGGGCTGCTGACAGTGCACCAGCATATCTGGGGAACCAGCCACCCCTGGTCAAGCACATCAGTGGGCTGACTTCTCTCAGTCATACCACAGAACTCACTCCAGCCTCACATGATGGAGATTGTGTCTATTGGGCAGCCTGTGCAACACTGTACTACCATTTGTGCTTCCTTCCCAATTTCCTGTACCTGAGTTTTCAATAACTAAATGCAAATATCTTGCTGATATGGCGTCTGAAATAACCTCGAAATAGCTCCCTCAGTGGCTGTTGTTTATTTGCAGAATCACTGTTGTGATTGTTCCTCCATAGCAATTAAGCAGAAGGCTTCCCCAGTCTATATGCCTACCAGAGAGCCATCACCTGTATTTTTCTGTTCTGCAGGAAGGGAGTTTGAAGGTGAGGAGGAGTACCTGGAGATCTTGGGGATCACACGAGAGCAGTCGGGCAAGTATGAGTGCAAAGCTGCCAATGAAGTCGCTTCAGCAGATGTCAAGCAAGTCCGGGTCACTGTGAACTGTGAGTATCTCGTGGGGGAGCAGATCCTTGCCCATGGGCAAAGGTGGCTGTGGGGTAAATGGAGATGCCCTCTAGGGCATATTAAAGGATCTGAAATTGGGGGGAGCTATAAGGCGCTTACCATAGGGTGGAGTTTGTTCTTTAAATATCAAAATTCGTAAGAAAAGAAGAGAAAAAAAGAGAGAAAAATCATCATAGAATGGCCTGGGTTGAAAAGGACCACAAAGATCATCTAGTTTCAACCCCCCTGCTATGTGCAGGGTCACCAACCACCAGACCAGGCTGCCCAGAGCCACATCCAGCCTTGAATGCCTCTAGGGATGTGGCATCCACAACCTCCTTGGGCAACCTGTTCCGGCGTGTGACCACCCTCTGTGTGAAAAATTTCTTCCTAATATTTAACCTAAATCTCCCCTGTCTCAGTTTAAAACCATTCCCCCTTGTCCTGTCACTATCCACTCTCGTAAACAGTCATACCCTCTCCTGGTTATATGTTACCTTCAAGTATTGGAAGGCCACACTTGGAAGGCTCTCCCCAGAGCCTTCTCCAAGTTAAACAAGCCCAGTTCCCTCAACCTTTCCTCATAGGAGAGGTGCTCCAGCCCTCTGATCTTCTTAATGGCTCTCCTCTCCAAGAGCTCCACGTCCTTTCTGTACTGGGAGCCCCAAGCCTGGATACAGTACTTCAGATGGGGTCTCACAAGAAGTGTCAATGTGTTGCCCCTCTCTCTCCCCTCAGATGTCCTGGCAATGCCGTGTTTTTACTAATTGATATTTGAGATAACAACATAATGAAGAGCAGCTTCAGCAAGAATAGATAAGGTCCAGCCTGCTCAAAGCAAGCATCCATTTGATTCGGCTAAGCTTAAGTGGCCTGAGGGGATGCATGGTAGAGGCACCTTAGTGAGAGGGGGCAGAACATGACTTTTAAGCTGGTTTCAGGTCATGTCAATAAAGCTTTCTGTGCATCAATGCAGTACAGAAAAGTGTTTGGTGAAAGAGGCCTGCTGTCCATCTCAGAGCACTCAGAGGCAGAGCCATGTGGCTTACATCCCACTCCAGCTCCTGTGAATCCTCTCTGGGTGATGCTCTGCTGAGCAGGGCATGGATCACTTTGCCCATGCACACACACAGGGCAGGTCCACCTCATCCTGCAGGTGCCCTTGCAGTGACATAAGATATGTCAGACCGCCTTCATTCCTATAGCCTTGTATGTGTGTATGGCCACCCCCATATGTGTATGGCTCAGTTTTGGCACTAGTTATTTGATAGGAATATACCCACCTGCCTGCTCTGTTTCCGTGACTGGAGGCTAATAGCTCTGCAGCAAGGATGGATGAATGGGACATACACCCTATGCTGACCTTCTTCAGGTGACTCATAGAGCACTAACTTCAGCTGCAATTCAGGTGGTTACAGGCATGAGTCAGGATGTGTACATGTGCCCTTGATTCATAGGTAGCACCCCTTGGCAGCAACAAGTGGCTTCACCCATCCCTCTCTCATTTCCCACCATATGTGGTTTTAACACATCTTTGTGCCATTCTTGCTCTTCCTTTCCCTCTGAACCATCACATCAGGTCAACTTTTCTGCCTTGCTTTAGAAGTCAAGGTTGCAGGCATTGCTTTTGGGGTCCCTGCAGCATCTGTGCAATCCAAACCACTTTGGGGGGAATTAGGTGTTCCTGCTTTTAGCAGGGGGTTTGGAACTTGATAATCTTCCAACCCAAACCATTCTATGATTCTATGAAAATTGGATGGTGGGAGTTTAGTAAAGGCTGCTTCATGGGCAGACTTAACCACTAGTGTGAAACTGCAGTAGCAGATTTAATGAACTAAAGTTTTTGTTTTATACATGAAATATGTGGTTTGCTTTGTGGTTTGTGGGTTTTTTGGGTTGGGTGTTTTGTTGGGTTTTTTTTTGGTCAAAAACAACTGAGCTTATAAACCCAAGACATTCCATTAAAAGCAATTAGTATTTTCAGATATTTCTATGAAACATAATTTCAGGGCTGTATTTAACATGGTTGGATAAAGTCCATGTACAATTTTGACTTTGTTTCAACTCTTAGTTACTGTGCTAGAGTGAGATCCTTTTACTGTCATGGTATATGAAAATAAGATCTGATGCAGTATTGCAGTATCATTACATGGCCTAATGTGTAATGTGAGCAAATGATCATTTCCTGCAGGACCTTTTGTTGCCAAGCACAGGGAGGGATAGATCCAAAGAGGTCATGAGATGCACAGAACAAAAAAAAAATCGGTCCTGTTTGGGGGATGAAATCCAGATATTTGCATACTTCTTTCCTTATCTTGCTTTCTTAAGCTACACATGCAGTAGAAGCAATGAAAATCTCAATAAGATTGAAAAATGGGACCTGTCCCAAGTGAGGAGCTCCCTGGCCATCCCTTATCACCTCATCTCTCTCTGAGGCTGAGCAGTGGGCAGGTTGTCAGCCCACTGCAGGAGAAAGCAGCATCTCACTGCTTCGGTCTCACACCACCACCTTCAGGCTTCTTGAGTAATGGCCCTGACACATTGCAGATGGGAAACTGAGGCCTGAGGAAGTGAGGAGGGAGAGCAGCAAAGGGAGCCCACTCCTGGCTGCCGCGGCAGCGTAGGCCAAACACGGAGCAGCTGCATTTTCTGGGCCCACAGAAAGGTTCTGTTCATTGCATGACTCATCGCACGCGCTGGGTTCAATGAAGTGGAAAAGGCTTTTCTCACAGCAGACAGCACGGCTTGAACAAAAAATTGGAGAAGGAGGCTTAAAAAAATCACCTTCTCTATCCTTTTATTACCCCTCCTCCTTCCCGAATTAAAATATTTACGTGAACCCGCAGCCTTTGAATGCAGGATCCTATTTCTGTACACTTATTAATATTTATGATGTTAGAGGGCGCACTGCAATATCCCTAAAGCCCTGCATAAAATCCCGATTAAGGTCAGGAAAGGGATCACATTGAGCTGGCTAATGCGCTCACAACAAACTTCTCTCAGTACGTTTTCCAGACAGCGCTATTTTTTTTATTTGACAGGCACGATCCATTTTGATTATTTTTTTGGCCTTCCTGTGCCAGGACGGACACAGGCAGCAGAGCTGAGCTCCGTGCACAGGCAGGGTGCTTTGTGGTGGCCTGAGCCTCAGCGTGGCAGCTGGCTCAGAGTCCCTGAGCACTGGTGATGGCAGACAAGGTGCTGACTCCCTCCCAGAGGCCAGATGGAAATAATCCTGCCTTTTCATTGGTCAGTCTTGTCATTTTGAACACAGGGCTGAGTGTGAAGCTGCTGGTACCCTGCCCGGTACTTTAGCCAGCACTGAGACCCATCTCCAGCACTGCACGTTGATCATAGAATCATGGAATCATTAAGGTTGGAAAAGACTTCTGAGATTGTAAAGTCCAACCATCAACCATCACCACCATGCCCACTAACCGTGTCCTTCAGTGCCACATCTACATGGTACTTGAATGGTGACTCCACCACATCCTGGTAGAAACAAAGAAACATAGAATCAGTAAGGCTGGAAAAGATCTCTAAGATCATCCAGTCCAACTATCACCACCATGCCCACTAAGCATGTCCCTAAGTGCCATATCTACATGTTTAATGAACACCAGGGACAGTGACTGCACCACCTCCTTGGGCAGCTAGATCCAGTGCTTCATCACTCTTTTGGAGAAGAAATTCTTCTTGAAATCCAATCAGAACCTCCACTAGCTCAACTTAAAGTGATAACCTCTCATCCTATCTCTAGTTATCTGGGAGAAGAGACCAACCTTTCCTTTCTTATTATTGTTTTGACAGTAGATGCAAAGGTTGTATGGAAATTAATTTTTATGCTAGTGCTAAATTCCTGCTTTCTTTCTTTTGCTTCTGCTTTCTTTCTTTACCATTGATAAAGTCTTTCTCTCATCATCTTCTCTCTGATAAGGCCATGTGAACTAGAGATCCATAGGTAAATATTCATGAATTACAGGAGTCTATCATTAACCTCAACTTTACCTGCATATGCCTGTGCAATTATGACAGAGCTTTATTCAGTGCCACTGAAGAGAAGCACGCGTAAGGAGTAATGCTGGTATACTTATTAGAGGAGTTCAAAGAGCAGATATTTTTCAGAGGATCAGGGGCTGGATGTGCCCCAGCATACGGCTGCTATAGTTCTCCACCAGCCCCAATCGTTTGCATAAGGAAGTAAAGGAAGCAAAGTTCCTGAAGCAGTTCTACTTTTTTTCCATCTATCTGAAAGTTGTGAGTTACCCAGTGTTTCCTTCCTGCAGACCCTCCCACCATCACAGAGTCCAAGAGCAATGAGGCAGCCACGGGACGACAAGCCTTACTCCGCTGCGAGGCATCAGCAGTGCCCACACCTGATTTTGAGTGGTACAGGGATGACACCAGGTAAGACCATTAGCTCTCCTTTTCCTTTCTCTCCATTTCAGTCCACTCACTAGGGCATCCTTAGACAATCAGCTGTCATCCTCGGTTCTTCTCCTCAAGCAAATTACTCTCTGTGAGCCATGTAAGTCAACACTGTCCCTTCAACCCAGAGGCAGTGCGGTTGGGACTGGAAGAGGCAATCCTTCTCTAAACCAGAGATGCTGAAGGGAGTGCTAAGGATGAAGCTCCTGCCTTTAAATCAGTAATGGAGCAATTCACAATTAAGACATTAGTAGTGCTTCCTTCCTCCCAGTGTTCATGTGTTAAATAGATCGTGATAAAAAAAATTGTGTTGGTCTCCAAGTAGGTAACTCCAATCTAGCTGTCTCCTTCTAAGGGAGGAGTAAGATTCCTCCATCTCTGGGACCTGAGCCACCAAAGTTTGCACATGAGGAGAAAATGAGAAAAAAGATCTGTTCCTTATACCTGAGCATTTACATTGCATTTAGAAAAGAGTGTTATTATTGTAGTTTTTTGGCTGACCCATGTCTGCAGGCTCAGGGGTGACCTGGCTTTTGTAAATGCTCATATTAAAATATATTAATTGGTGTGTTTCACTAAAAATCGTTGTTCCAAGTATGAACTAGCCCTCAGTTGGTCATAGTAAGTTCATTTCCCAATGTAAGCCAGTGCTGAATAAAGGCTTCTTCCCTTTCCTTCAGCTTTTCTTTCTTCTCCACTGCTTTACCAGTGGCACTCCTCTCTGCTGCACTCCTTTTTCCTTTCATTGACTCCTCCTGCTTCTCATCAGTACCTTCTCTGGCCTCTTTCTTCTCACATCTCCTCACTACCTGCCTCTATCCTCACCTGCCAGCTGGTCTGAAGGGCATTGCTTTCCTCCCCAATACACAGTGTCCACTGCACTGCACTCCTCTTCTCCTATCTTCCCAGGATAAACAGTGCCAACGGTCTGGAGATAAAGAGCACGGGGAGCCAGTCTCTGCTGATGGTGGCCAACGTCACTGAGGAGCACTATGGGAACTACACCTGTGTGGCTGCCAACAAGCTGGGAGTCACAAATGCCAGCCTATACCTTTACAGTAAGTATAGAAGAGGGCGAGGGGAGGTCCAGGTCACTCTCACAAAGAACCAGGCTGTGTTGGAAACACGCAGGATCACTGGTCCATAAAACACTGCTTGTCAACCTCCCCAAACCTCTAGCTGAGAACTGACTGCTTCAGACACATACATGTCCATACTCAGAGTGAAACACGAACGCAGCCAAATTAAAAGGTTAAGGTCAAGCCCTTTGATTGACTTTATTTGCCAAAGTCAGACTTTGTTAAAATAATCAAAATGTGTTTGTTTTAAGACTGGAACTGAAAACTCCCTCAGAGTGAAAGCCCTTTTAATAAGCAGAGAAAAGGCCAAGGCTCAGAGGGGCTGTGACAGCTGAGAAATGACAAGTAATTCAGAGAGGTGGAGAGAACTAGCCACTGAGCCTGAGGAGAACAACAGAGTCAAGAAAAAGAGAAATGAGTTTGAAAGCAGGAGAAAATGGGAAGGAAGGAAGTAGTATAAGACAGAATGATTTAAGAGGGCATACCTTGGGGAACATGGGGGAAAAGATAATCAGCAGGTGAGATATGAAACAACTTTCTGGGATCTCATTGCTCCCTTTCAATTACTGAGTTTTTGTAGTAAACTTAAGAAGAAAGAAGCTGGGGTCACGACAAACTCTAAAACAGAACTACCTGCTGGTTCTGAATTTTGCGTCTGGTTCTGTCTGACCCTGTGTTTAGCCCCTGTTCTTTTCCTCCCACCCATGCACACATGAGTATATTTACTATGGTGTATTCAAAACCCAGTTCTGTATTCAAGGCACAAATCCTGGGCTCAGCTTTCACTGCACATTTCTATTGCCGCCAGAAATAGACTGCAGCAGAATGACCCACTCACACAAATGGACCAGAGACCGAGAAGTGACACAGGGTTGTATTCTACTGCTGATCTCAAACTGAATTAAAGCCCTTAGGCCACGACCTGCATGACCTTCTAAACAGAAACAAAAATAAACTATGCAGATCTGTCTTAGGGTGAGAGGCATCTAATGTAGTTTCTGTTGTGTGGTCAGATTAATCAAAGCATCAGGAAAAAAAAAAAGTGTTTTGGTTTGGTTTTGTTTTTTTTAGCAGATGTACTGCAAAAGTACAAATCCATTGGCATTCTTTGTTTAACACCTCTAGATTTATTACATTGCAGTTTGAATTCTTGTAAAATTTGAGTGAGTTCTGTGGGTTTTTTTTTTGTGAAGAATAGATTTATCATAAAAATACATATATTTGATTTCCTGCTGCATTTGGTCAGGAAAACAAAGCAAATTTCTACTTTGAAGGTCTTTTCACCCTCATCTTGTGACTGTCAGGAGATTCAAATGAAATTCTCAGGCAGCAATCTGGAACACAGTTTTCAGATACTTGAGATTTGTTCTTGCTGATATTAATATAATGCTAAGTTTAGAATCCATTATTTGTGGCTGAATTCTAAATTTGGCCCTCTCTATTGGTTCCTGTTACACAGATGAGCTGAATACATCACTGAAACAAAATATAAGATGAAATTCAATAATGTATGTATGGACACGTGATATTAGACAGGGGTTGGTTTTGCTAGAAAAGCATTTTGCACGACTTGAGAGCTTCACCTCAAAGGATCTCAAAGGATTTGCTAGCAATGAATATTTTAACATCGCAAGTTATTCAGAAATCAGTGAGTGTTATTAGCACTTTTTGCAGTAGGAAAACTAAGAAACAGAGTGAAGAAGTGGTTTACCCATGGTCATGAATTCATTGGCAGAACCTGTAAGAAAAATGTGGAGATCTTGCAAAGTTGCCAGTAGCTATACCGAGAGGAAAGGTGGCAACTGTTAGAGATGACTTGAACAAGGAAATAAAGTGAGGGTGCTATTTTAGCCTCCTTTTGATGTGTGTCGAGGTAACTTTCCTTCTATCAAGTTGTTGGATTTTGTTCATCATTTTTACAGTAAAAATTCAAGTGCTATGTGTACCGTGAAACACTTGAGAACTTGTGAAGTAGCAACTTCACAAGAGCCAGAAGAATGAAGGTGCAGGAGGTGAGAAAGATTGGATGATTTTCCTCAGACTGTTTCCAACTTTTGTTTTTGTTGCTTCGTTAATTCCCATTTTCTTCAGCATTCAGTGTTGTGGAGGGAGAAGGCCATTGTGAAAATTGTGTAATACTGTTTCAGGATCTTTCCATTCTCCTAGTTAGTATGGAAGAGAGAAAAACATTAAATTCAGGCAGATTCCTGTTGGTATTTCTAAGGTTAAAAAATCTGGGAGGAGGTGAGTGAAGGGAATCAAGCTTCATAAAGAAGTGGCCCCAGAAACCTACAAGCCCAGCTGAAAAAAATGCTGTACTGATCACAAATAATCGGCAATGTACAATCCCAGCCACAGACCCAAGCAGAAAAAAAAATTAAGAAAACCAATGCCAAGTTTTTTCAAGATACAGTACATACTAAAATACTCAGAGTGTTTTTCTTCCACAGAATCCAGGATTTATTTATTTATTTTTAATAGAGATGAATCTCACTGTAGGGCAGCATCCCAGCAGGGAGGCAGACACAGTGGCCCATTGTAAAAAAAAATACCATACAACACCAACAAAAAGCGGTGGTCAGCAGTGCAGAAACAAGCAGAAAGTTAGTAATGAGGTACTGGCAGCTTTGTCTGAGGTGGAGGGCAGATAGGGAGCTAGCAAAATGATGTGAAAGAACAGTTCAGCAACAGAGAAAAATGGGTGTCTTCCATTCCAGGGAGTCTCCGCCTGCATTTAAAAACTCTAAGAGAGACCAAGTGCCTTAGATGTCAATGCCATAGTTAGAAGATGCATTAAATTACAAAAGCAGCTTCCTATAGCTGTATGAATATATAGCTAGTGATCTTGCATAAAGGATATAGCAGCATGAATGCCTGCTGTAGGTGGAGAGATTTATACCCCTTGCTCCTGGAGACTGAGCTTATAGCAACACACAAATAGTGATACTGGGTCAGCCCAAAGGTCTGTCTTAACCAGGGTCCTGTCTCCAACAGCAATCTGGAATATGTTTGCAGACAGCACACATATGTCCTGTCTGATGATACAGTGGATCTGATAGCTTGCTGCCATCCTTTCCTCCCTGCTTCTTATTCCCCCTGCTCTATGCCCCATGCTTTTGCCATTTCCCATACTCTGGTGGGGTACACGCCATACCAGTGGGCCACATACAAAGACAGCTCAACTTGTGAAAACATAAGGCAGCTTTACCATCCACCCTTCTAAATGCTCCCAAACGTTTTCTTTTGTTGCAGGGAGCTGAGTTAGTTCAGGAAAGGTTTCAAGGAGCACCAGAGCCCATGCAGAAGGGAGGGATATGCCATATAGAATCATAGAATGGCCTGGGTTGAAAAGGACCACAATGATCATCTAGTTCCAACCCCCCTGCTATGTGCAGGGTCGCCAACCACCAGACCCAGCTGCCCAGAGCCACATCCAGACTGGCCTTGAATGCCTCCAGGGATGGGGCATCCACAACCTCCTTGGGCAACCTGTTCCAGTGTGTCACCACCCTCTGAGTGAAAAATATACGTGAACAAAGCAGCTGGGAGCCAGCACCATGTTGTGCTGGAGCTCTGCAGAGCCTGGGAACAGGGCTGGTAACGCCTAGCACAAAATGCCATGAGACCAAGGAAATGGGCAGTAAAATTCCTTAGTGTGAGGGTGACCTGACAGAGGTCAAGCCAGGCCGCCTCACAAAACAGCAAAGGTGAGAAGCAGCACCACAGCTAAAGGGAAAGGTTTTTTCCCACAAATATATGAGGAGAGAGGGAACTTGTTTCCTTGTCATTCCATTAAGCCAACAGAGTGCTATGAAAAGCTACAGATGTAAAAGCCACAATTTATATGTCAGCTCGTGCTGCACAGCAGTACACATATATACACAGTATATATTTATATAAAAGTATATGTCAGATGCATATCTGCCATACAAGCATATGCATACATAGGCTTACATGTATGGATACATGTGAGCAAACACATCCACTGGCACACAGAAGCAGTTGCAGCACCTGGCGCAATCATGCAAGGCAGAGCAAAGTAATGAAAGTCCTTCCAGACCAGTTGACTTCTGCCTCCTGCAGAGCCAGCTTATCCCTGAGGATAAAGCAGGAGACAACGGCGCGCTACTGCACACCTCAATGCAGTCCTGCTGCCTAAATTGTCTCAATTATGGGAGACTGCCACCTCAGCAGGAGCCCTGCTGCATCCTCTGTGCCCTTCAGCAAGTGAGGAAAGCGGAGGTGAAGCAGCACCTGGCAGGACCCATGCCAATTAGATGCAGGCAGCAGGCAGCATCCCACCACCACCTCTCAAAGTGCTTCAGGTGCAGTTATCAGTTCGGTCCAGCAGTTTTAATCCCAGCAAGAGGCAATCTCCTCGGAAGAGCTGGCGCTTGCCTCTCACCTGCCATTGCTTGTTAGCACCCTGGCACAAGTGCTAGCTGGTGGGCACCCTCTCGTACCCATTGTCAAAATACTCTGCCTTGTGCCTGAGCATCTGCTTGTGGTGGTGGTGTTTGGAGTAAAGTCTGAGGCTCTCAGCGCATCCCCCGTATATTCCCACAGGCTGTCAGTAACAGGGAGACTCAGGAGAGGAAAGAAAGTGGTGAGGGTGACAGCCAGATGGAGCGAGGCTGAGACACTGCTAATGAGCCAGGGTGGAGCAATAAAGGCTGCACGCAGCAGGCAAGGGGAACAGAGGGAGAGTCCTTGAATAGAAAGCAGCGTGATAATGAGGCCGTAGTGCTTTGCTTTAACTGCTTACGCTGTGCAGCCTGCAGCCTGCTGTGCGGGAAGAAGGTAAAGGGTAGTTGAGTTATTTAACCAAACTAAATAACAAGGAAGTCATGTCAGCACAACAGCCTGCTTTCACAGAACAATAGTCCCCTGGTGCTACATAAACACAGAGATCGAGGCTAGCTGTGTATTTTCTACACAAGAGACAATCTCCCCTGTCCCTGCTGTGGACTCCAATGGCTCCATTACCACTGTGAAAGCAGGAGATCTGCAGAGTCACAGGTCCCCGTGGGCTCCAGCAAGTCAGAAGCCAGCTCCTTGCACCAGGAGTGCTATACAGAGAGCATTGGCTTCCGAAGAGCTGGGACTGGGGTGATCAGAAAGCAACAGTGGACTACGGCTGTATCCTGCCAAGCTGTATGTACATCAGCAGTGATATTAGCAACACCCTCACAGATAAACCAGCAGACAACTCATTGCCTCAGGCCTATTAGCTTTTGCATAGTGACATATTTCTGCAGCTAAATGTCTACCTTCCAGTCAGCCCTTGAGTAGGAGCGTGCCTCAGTCAGCACAAGGCATCTAGCAAGCTCCGTAGTTGAAGAGAGACCCAGTGTAGAGCCAGAGTAGAGTAAGAGTAGAGTCTGATCTGGTGGGCTTATATTCATGGTTCTGCTCCTGACTCTGCTAACAGATCAGAATTTGACCTTGGACAGACTGCTTCCTTGCTTTCTTCATCACCTGCTCTACCTGTAAAATGGAATTAACACTCCTTCTAGCCTCAGACGGAGGTCTCTGACTGCTGATTTCCCTCAGTGTCTGTGCAATTCTTTTGAGATCCTGGCATGGAGGAAGCAAAGCGTGAAGCTAGCAGTGATGTATACCAGAGGCTTGCTGTGATGTAGAACAAGGACACACTGTAAAAACCCTATAACTGAAACAGCAGGCTCTGCTTCCTGCTAGAGATCGGTGAATCTGCAAAAGCTCTGTTCCTTTACAAAGACAAATGCCCAGAAGAAACAGAATACCATTCAGATTCTTCAGGCTGACAATTCCAGTGCTCACATCCTTAAGAGACCTCTTACTGGCAAGAAACCCATTGTGGAGAAGGTTGTGTGGAGGCAGTAACTACCCATGGAGGACCTCTACAACTCACCCTGATGCCAAAGGCTAGCTTCCAGCCAGAGGTGTAGCTAAGAGGAGCAGTAACATGATGACATGAGTGGTCTTGAAAGTCAGAGAGGAGATGTGGCCCATTCATTCCAATTAACCTCACTGCAGGTGCT